TCCGACTTTTAGTCACTTTATTACTTGACGACCGCGTATACTTGCGTGAGTGTGTTTGGTCGATAAGCAAACTATTTTGTTCTTACACATTTAATTTTGGTTGAAACAAAGGTTAAAGAGTTGACCTGACTCAGCTCAGTTACTATTATTAATTTATTATTACAAAAAAATTTATTATTAATTTAATATTACAAAAAAAATTTAGTTGTTGATCGGACTAATAGGGGACGCCGGTGCCTTGTCCTACCTTAGACCATTCTAAATTCGGCAGCTGGTTTCGTATACTTTCTGTAAGCACGGTAAACGACTATGGCGCAAAATAGCAGCTGCAGGAATAGACCTAATATACTTATCACCGGAGCTCCGGGCACAGGGAAGACGACTACGGCGTCTGCCCTGGCGGAGGTGACACAACTCCGCCACATCAACGTCGGCGACTTTGCTAATGAGAAAAACCTGAGCAACGGCTGGGATGATACCTTCGATTGCTACTACATCAACGAAGACCTCGTAAGTCTTAAACATTCTTCTTCTCCCAAAAGGAACCAAAACTCTTGACTGGTGAAACTGATCTAATTTTAGGTAATTTCTTAGTTTGAAAATTTTACCCATATTTTTCCTTAATCTAAAAAATTAAATACTGCATACAGATTATATCAGAAGTTGCAGACTTAATGAACACGAACAGTTAAAGCTTGTGTTGTGGTATTAATTTGAATTTTATTTAAGTTGTTCTATTCAAAGCACAACATATTTAGTATAGAAATAAATTGGACCTGAGTTGAGCCTAATGGATATAGTGTATTCATATAGCCAATACCAGCTAATTTGGAACTGAAGTATAGTTGATTGATTAATTGATTTGAACTGAAAATTTTCATTATTAGTCAAAATATGGTTTTGTTAAACAAAATAACATAAGTAATAAAATTAAGCCGCTCATAGCTGCTTTCCTGTCAATTCCTATTTTAAGTTATGTTATGACTTGTTTATGCAATCTTGTTCGGCTTTATGGACATGATTTTCTTGTCATATAATCAAGCAATTCTAACAAAATCTGTGCCGAACATTCTTTTCCCTTGCATCACAACTATCCATCGTGAAGATCTGTACAGCAATTGCTTTTCATTTTTTCTTTAGTGGTGCTTTTCTTTCTTGATTTTATCCAGGTATGTGATAAGCTTGAAAACTTGATGGAAGAAGGTGGAAACATCATTGATCATCATGGCTGTGACTTCTTTCCTGAACGTTGTTTTGAGCGTGTAGTGGTGCTTCAAACTGAGAATTCTGTCTTATATGATCGGTTCATTAAGAGGTATTCTATCAATTGATTCTTACCTTTTTCGTTTGTATACATCTCTAGCATTTCCTTATATAATACAGAATAACTGTTTGACTGTCCCAGAGGTTACTCAGGTCAAAAGCTTTCTGATAATGCTAAATGTGATATCTTTCAAGTTTTGGTGGAGGAGGTAAAAGAGAGCTATCCAGAGGATATTGTGGTCATACTAAGAAGTGATTCTGCAGAGGATATTACCAAAAATGTGGAGACACTGACCACTTGGATTAGTAATTGGAGCCCTGTCTTATGATTAATGTATCTGAAGAGATGTAACATGGCATATTAAGCTACTTAACCGGGATCGAAGTTATGTTCTACGGTTTAACTATTTGGTTGAGGTTTCTTGTTCTCTTTCACATATATATCGGCGGGGATGTACTGAATGGGTTTGCGTTATCCTTTCGTTTAGCAGAAATGCAGGCTTAAATATTATGCCCAATGAGTTCTCTGAGCAGTATTTGCCTTTATACTTTCATGTTACAGTTTCCTAGTGGGAACATGTTAAGCTCAGATGGAACTATTTCTGTTTTCCGTTACTTAACTACAAACTAAAAAGCCAGGTCTTTTGTGTTTTGACGTGAGTTTGAATTTGTTTGCTGTTGCCGTTTCAACTCCTACGATTAAGCAATACCTTTTCACTGACTTAACGAATCCGCCGGAGATTGATGTTGATTGCAGAGTAGTTATTTGATTTGTGTGGATTTGCACTGACGTTGGGTTCAACAAAAGATAAAAGGTTGTCACTTGACAAATCTCGTGAAAATGACAGCAGGCACTGTTTTAAAAGGTGTGGGCTTGAGTCGAGACGTTTTGCATATGCCTCATTGAGCCGTAAGCCCCGAGGCACGAGGCGTAAGTCCCATAGGTAGTTAATATTTAATATTTTATAAAATAATATAATAACAGTAAATATTTATAAAAGGTAAAATTGCATAAAAATTGAAGAAAACTATAAATATGTGAAATATATATATATGTGCTCCATTCCCACAAAAAACTAATCAAAATAATCTATTATACGCTACTTACAATCACAAGTAACTTGAGTCTAAAAGAATAAAGTTTTCTACATGGAGGAACAAAAAAGATGATTAACGTGCAATTTGAACTTTGAACTTGCTGCTATGAAGGAGAATGGAGTTTTCTTTGTATTTGTAAAA